CGCGTGGCGTCTGGCAGGTACCCGGGCCGCTGCCAACACGCCAGGCGGCTGTGCCGACGCCGCTGGCACGCAGCCCCCGTCCGCCGACCTCAGGGGACACACCCTGCCACCCGCCGCACCCGCGCTGCCCGCGCCCCCCGCCACACGTGCGCGCCCATTCGCATGGCATGTGCGCTGGCGACAGCGGCGACACATTCGGCGAACGGTTGGCGCCGCGTCATTGTCGGCATTCTATAAAAAGACACCGGCGCGACACTCAGTTGAGTGGCCCGGCCAGCCGAGCGGAGCTCAGTCCCAGGAAGGCGACGTCACACCGCCGCACCGGACGGCGGCGGAACACGCCCGGTCTGATTAGGAGGGAGCTGTGGCGGACGAACAGCGGGAAGGCCGCCGCCACCCGGCTGGGATGCACATCTGCCCGGCTTCCCAACGGGCGCGCCCGCTAGGGACGCCCCATAGCCGCCGCCGCCGACTGGCTGGAAATCCCCCTCCGCGCTCGCTGAGCGTGACTGGCCTCCGGAACCGGGCAGGACTTCCCGGCAGCCGAGCCGGACGCGGCGGTGCGCCACCACGTGCCGCGGCGCGCCCGGCGGACGGCTCCGCTCCGTCCGCGGGCCGTGGAGGCGCGCCGCAGACTCGGAGCTGGCAGGCTCTCGACCGGGAGGCCTCGGAGCAGCAAGCAGTGGAGCACATCAGCTCGGCTCGCGGGCGGGTGACGGCCGCTGTCCTCCGCGGGGCGGCCGCCATACAGTGTGACTCATAGCGCATTCGCAGGCGGTGGTGCCGCCCGGACACCAGTCCCGCGCGCGTCCGGTGACAGCGGCCGGCGAACGGGTCGGCAGGACATCCCTTTGCAGCAAACACAGCAGCTGCCACAAGCCGCCCATGCGCTGGAAGCATCCGTCATACCTCCGGTCCGGCTGCAGCTGCAGCGACAGCACGTGAAGTGGTCGTGATGTGGCCCACCTCAACGGCAGGCCGTGTCAGATGTCTGTGACGCCGCGCAGCGACGGGGCGGCCGCGCACTTTCTGCGCCTGGCAGAGCGCAGAACACCTGGTTTCATCCGTGATACATCGGCCCTTAGAGCAGCACCATCCGCCCGGAGACGGGACGTCACGGGCGCCAGACGAGCGGCCAGATGGGGTGACACAGGGCCGCGCGCGTCAGGCGGCGACGCAGGCCGGGCCGGGCGGGGCCGGTTGGCCGACGACGCGAGCCAGGCCGACAGCTGACAGGGGCCAGGCGCGCAGCACGCGCCGGCGATGCGGCCACACGCGGCCGGGCCGGCGCGCCGGACGCACTCGCCGGCCGGCCGGCCGCGGTCACGCAGAGCAGGCTCGGGCCCAGGAGGAGGCAAGATCAAAGAGGAGTCGTCTGCCAGGTTGGAAATGGTCTCGGAAAATACAGCATTTAGTTTAGAAATACAGCTCTCGGGAAATTAGGCTTTTGTAGCAAAACTCAGCGATTAAATTCATTTCAGCCTGAAACACATGGCTTTGATGAAAACCGCTGAAAATGCATGTCAATAAAGCAAAACTGCCTGGCTCACTTAGGCGAAGACAGGATCTGTTTTTTCAGAGTTCTCCACTCGTGCCATTTTTAGGCGAATCCCGCCGAATGTTGTCGATCGCATCCGAACGAAGTGAATCACGCTGACTGTCATGAGGGAAAACGTGCACCCATGCGATGTTGTAAAGCGATTGCACTGAAAATCGCCGTGAAATTCTCCGGAGTTTGGACACCTCAATGGCGTGATCCGCTCGGTCGGAAGTGCTTGTTTATCCTGGCTGCCCAAACATTTCTAAACTCTGGAGTGAGGAAGACATTCGAACCAAGCTCTTGCTGCAGCAAAATATACAACGCCGCGTGATCAATGGCTCCGGTTCGGTGCTGAAGGGGGCAGTCATTTGAGAATGTGAAAGGAGGGAGCGATATTGCAGATTTGCGACATTCCAATCGGCGTACGCGTCAACGAATCCAGTGTTCCTCCTCCGCCAATCCTGTTCTCGTCGCTACCCGCTTTAATGTGAGGAAGAGTGTATGAGCAGAGTCCTCACAGAAAGTTCCGCCTAGCGTTTGAAAAAAACGTACACAGCAATTAGACAGAGAGGGGCGGAACAAAAAAAGAACTCGACACACGTCCAAGTCAGCGACGCAGAAGCGAGGAGAATGGGTGCAGATGGGCAAAGATTGGACAAAGATGAGTAAAGACACGGATGCCCCAGCAACGCCATCCAGAACCCATATCGCTGGACTGGGTAAAAGACGGCCTTTCTTGAGTTCTCGCTCCACATACATCTTTACCCACTCCTTACAGCCGTCAACACATCGACTTAAAACTAATGTGCTTATTTTGAATCTAGATCAACGAAGTGGAGTAAAACAGTCATGATGCGGCGTAGTGCCAGTCCATTTCGACAGAAGCACGTTCAGGCTCGGCAGTAAAGAATAACGAACGTGTTTTCGGCATAACTGCAGGCTATTTCGGAGTAGTTGCCTAACTTTGTAGGGCATAAAGACAAATTCGGTACGCTTTCAGTCAATTTGGCTCGGTGAGATATGGTTTCACCGATGATGTGATTACGCAGACGTGGTGTGCATTCTTCAGGAAAACGCGACAGGATGCCAGAACGTACAACGTAAGCTAATACACCCTCCATTTTAATGTTCGCCCGCTTAAGCGTATACCGTGAGATGCATTTGATGCGTTGCCATAGGCAAACGTGTGGCCAGTGTTAATCATTTAATGAATGAAACCTTGACCAAGAAACTCGCAAGAGCTGACCAGCTTTGAAGCAAACCGAAGTCTCCCTTGTTGCCATCGTTGTTGCACATTCACATTTTGCGCCTGCGCCAGCCCACATCGCACCCGTTAACATGACATCCGTGACCACTCTTCCTCTCTCCTCTCCCAAAAAAAGACAGAGACCGAGATCTCCCAGAACAGCACCACACTTAAATATCGCAGCCCGCGTGCGTTCATAGTTGATGAGCTCTCCATGCTTCCGATCGGGGTAACGCGATGTTTCTCTGTGGCTTCTTTATGTGGGCTAAATTTAGCCACATTGGGCTGACTAAATACTTGTTTTGACTATATTGCTCACGTCACTGAGCATTCAGAAATGAATGAAGAGTGCAATGTCACAGCGCAGATTCTTGAACAACTCCTGGACATTGGTACGTACATACGAACCCAGTTAAGCTTACGCTCGTGATTGCTCCCGGCCTCCAGTGCTTGTCAGTCTTTAGGGGCACCGGTCGCCATCACCGAGCACAAGCGGGGTCAAAGTGTAGACTTACGCGGCGTTTCGACTCCAGACGGTGCATATTCTCCCACAGTAGCGGCAGCGTAATGGATGAATAACGCAACACCCAAACCATTAGTCCTGACAATACGGATTTCCCTATCGCCCTGCGTGCAGCGACGATGTGGTGCTCTCACGTGGTGGCCATCTTGAACCTTGTGGCCCTAGTTGGCTCTGACAGTGACAGCTGTGAATCCGCAACCGTGGAGTTTTATAACACAACCTGGAATATCAAGGTCTTGAACTCGGAGCACTTCATCTGCAAAAATGTTCCACATTTTTGCTATTGCTTAGCAGCCGAAATTGCTTGGAGCTTGCCGAAATTTACTGCATATTTTGTTACTGGCGCGCATTAATTTCGCTTGCGAGAGCGGTAAAGACGAATTATCTTGCCGCTGTGCTGAGAAAATTGGGGTGTTGCTGCGGCGCCGGGGTGTTTGCGTTCCTGCCACCACTCACGCGGTTGTCGAGAACGGAGCGCCTTTACCGTAAAGCGGTTCGGCAGTTCTAAGCATGACGTGTTCGTTCTAAAATGCACGAGACCACGCCGCATGAGGATGGGGAAGGGTAAGCGAGGGCAGTATAGCCTTTCCACATCAACACATGTTTGAAGAGTGGAGCAGCGGGCAACGCTATATACAGAAAGATCCCCAAAAGCCATGGAAGAAAAACTGCGGCATAGAAAAGCGCAGAAGCCTGAAGCGTCGGTGAAGACCGCGGACGCATGTACCGAGTGATTTTGGAGTGTCAACGAACTCGGACTTCTTACCTATTCTTTCTGTGCTCTTGATTCCGTCACAGGCACTTCGTGTTTCCGAAGTCCCAACAACTAACCCAGGTCTCCCCAGCCAGCAGCACAACAAACTGACGCCAACAGAGCGGGGGTGATCTTGCTAGTAGATTTCCCGGGTTGTACGGTAGCACGTTTTTAAGTGTCTACATCACCTGAGTCTGTTAGCATAATACAGGCCAAAAACAGAGTTGCAAGACAAACCCATTTCAGAGACAGGGTGGCCGCTATTGCAGCAACAGGGTCAATACGCATATTAGGACTTCACGAATAATCAGGACAAATCAGCACTGGCAGGCCAGCGCTCCTGGTCTTGTTGGGTTGGACAAATGGAGAATAAAAGCGCGTGCTGTGTACAAGTACTTTGGTTGTTTGGACTAAGTACCATGTGCTCAAGGTACTCCAACATCAGTTTGTGTCCTCTTGAATCAGTTGTCTTGATGGCTGATGTTATGTGTATTCAACATGGCCACCTTCGCACATTTAATACCGACGCATGACCAAACGGCATGTGCGAAGTACGCCATCAACTTAAGGATTTTCATAGTGGATTATAATGCCGGCAAAGGCCTTTCAGCATTACTTCGCTGAGACGGAACAAGTCATGACATTATAGGCGTCTCCGACCGAGTAAATTATTGTTTTCTATGTGGTGTTGGCTGCATTTTTCATCCTCAGCAATGCCCCACAGCACATTTTGACGCATGTGCGGAAAGTTTTCATTTGATCGGCAGTCCATTGGCTTACCAAGGGCCCCCATCCTCACATAAAAACTGGCTCCTTTGCACAGCGAAGCGCGGCAGCCTTTTCGTGGGGTACGCCTCCCAGCCGCAGCTGATATGAACACTTGGCCCCAGACCGAACAGTACTGATCACCCCCGCAGCGGTGTGCTGGTGCGCTCACCTCATCCCACTTGATGAACTTCTGGCCCTCCTGCATGCACTGCGGCACGACCACCGGCTTCAGCTGGACCACGTGCACGGCGGGCCGGTAGCCGGCCATGGCTGCTGGCGACGACGACGGCGGCGGCGGCGGCGGGCTCCGGTCACAGGTAGCGGCCGCCGGCGACTGGCGGCCGCGGCGCCGGCCCGGGGGTCGCGCCGCCGACGCTCCTGCAGCACGCGGCGGCGCCCGGTGACGACGGCGCACGGCTCGACGACGCCGGCGCGGCGGCGCCGCCACGACGGGGCACGGCGGCACCCGGACACGACACAGCGGCACGGCGGCACCGGGACGCAAGACAGCGCCACATCGGCACTGGGACACGACACCGCAGCACTGGGAGTACGACACAGCGCCACTGGAATTACGACACAGAGGCACAAGGAATTACGACGTAGCGGCACTTCGATTACGACATGGCGGCA